ATCTAAGCAATTCACTTAACTCCCTGTATGCCTGTTTCCTAGAGTCTCTTGATGCAGATTTTGATACTTTCAAATGTTTGCCTTCTGCTCAGCACTTTCTTGTGATATACCTTATTTAATCTTCAGTTCACCATAGGACACAATAGTTTCTCCAAATTTTGTGAATGTGGACTCTAGAAGACAGATTCTAAATTTTTGAAAAAGCCGGGTCTCTAGCTAGGATTGATTTCAGTTCAATGTCACTGTGCTCAATTTTTTTTAAGTACTAAAGGTGAATCTCTGTTTCACAGAAATCTAGAGCTTAAGGGCATCTCATGGTCATTCTGGCTTTAGGTTAGAACAAGCCAGAAATTTATTATAATAAGTACTTTTAATATTTTTTTAAATTTTAGGTTAATTAGTAACCTGAATCAGTATGTAAACATGAACAGAGAATTAGTTCATTCATCTCTCAATTCATAAATACTTCCTGGAGGAAATTTTTAGTCTTCTGCTGATTAAGAGGAAAGGGTAGAATTGATATCATATAGGGTTTTACCCCACCCTTTGAGGTTTCCCTTAAACAGCAAACTTTGAGTATTTCATTAAAACATTGACTTGGAAACATAATAATTCATGGTATTTTTAAATGATAGTTTTGGAAGGACATAGTCAGTGTTGCTGATATGCAGAATAACTGTATTGATTACTAAGTGTTGCCAGTTGTTAAAGCATAACTTAATTGTTTAAAAAAATACACCCTTGGGGCTGAAGAGATGACTCAACACTTAAGAGCATATACTGCTCTTCCAGAGGACCTGAGTTCAATTCCCAGCACCCATATCAGATGGCTCACAATCTCCAGCTCCATGAGAATCTGTCTAGCCTCTGGCCTCCAATGACGCCTACACATATTTGTGCATACCTGCATATATACACACATAACTAAAATAAAATAAATCTTCCAAATTCACTTTGTTTTCTGATGTCTCGGTTAGGAAAGATCAATAAAAGAAACTATTCTTGATTAACTTGATGACCCTACACAAATTTTTCCATCCAGTTTCTTACATTTTTCCTTTAAAAATGCTTAAATGTTTTCTGATTTCTTTCTGGTTTGGGAGTGGTAGTGGATAATGTTTATATCAACTTTGGATAACCCAAGAATTTTGCACTGGGGAGCAGGGAGACAAAATACTGTGTTTATTCAACATCCATTTTAGTACCTACTAATGTATAGAACACAAAAGTTTAGAAAAGAATTTTCTCCTACATTTTACAGTCCTTTTGGAGAAACAAAATACAGTTCTCTACCCATTCATAAAGACATTATACCTCACTATAAATCCCAGATAATCAGTCAGACCTAAGTAATAAACCCATATCTTACCCAGGGTGTTAATATTAACATAATCATGAAATGTTGGGGGAAGCTATTCACCTGTATATGCTTTCTTGTTTTTGCTGTCATCCCATCTCTGGCTTGTACTCCATCATAACATTCCAGATTCAGCCTGTGCTCATGCAGATGGCAGTTTCTAACTTGTCTGATAGGGGCAACGCTACTTGGTTTCCTCAATCCCTCATTAGTCTTGTGCAATCTGATCTTCTGATCTATTCCAAACACAGTATTTTAGGTTCTAGGTCTCTGTCCTTGTACACTTCTTTTCTAATGTTATATATGTTTTCCACTATATAATATCTTAGTGATTTTTTTAAAAGGTATTATATTATAAGACATGTAAGACATATCTCAAAATTTAAAATACAGTTGGCATTCCTTGTACATATGTGCAAAGTCGAGACACAGCATTATTATTTTCCAACAATGGCTAGTCCAAGACTTTTAGTGCATATATGAGTTAGTGATTGCAGCATAGTGCTATTTACAAAGCCAAACTGAACATCTGTTTGTTATAACAACATCATGAAGAATGTTTGCTATAAGGACATCACTATTTTTATGAAATTGAAACATCCAATTCGGAACATGACAAAATTTCAAGGCTGAACAAGTTCGTAAAACCATAAAAACAACTGAAATAAATATTTTCCAACTTAACGACAAAGTTCCAATAGTTGTTCTGATTTTTAGTTCTGTGAGAGATTCTGCTACCTTCACAGAGTTAGGGAAAGTGTTTGTAAACCATAAAAACAATAAAAATAAATGAATCTTCCAACTTAATGGCAAAGTTCCAACAGTTCTGATTTTTAGTTCTGTGAGATTCTGTTACCTTCACAGAGTTAGGGAAAGTGTGCAAAGTGAGCTTGCTGCCCACACACCAGCCTTGCTTGCTGCCCTCCCTGTAGAAGCTCCCAGCCTCTGACAGAGGAAGCCTAGACCTGTGTGCACATTTTATCACCACTTCTTTGACTGATTGACAACTTTTGCCTACTTACTTGAGTTTCTGCTTACAGCCCTATCAGAGAGGAGAGACCTTTTCTGTTATGTTTATCATCAGCTCTAGAAAGTGGTATCAAAATGCAGCTGAATAAGTCATAATAATCCTGTCATGGTGGTGCATGCCATTAATACCAGCACTTGGAAGGCAAAGACAGAAGCATCAGAGTGAGTTCAAAGGCAACTTGGGCTTTGTAGGGAGTTACAGGCCAGCCTGGCCTATAGAATGAGACTCCGTTTCCATGAAAAAAAAAAGTGAGAATAAAAAAATAAATGGTTGTTGGGCATAGTGGTATACATCTTTAGTCTCAGCACTGGGGAGGCAGAGGCAGGAGGATTTCTGTGAAATTAAGACCCACCCTGATCTATATAGTGAGTTCCAGGCTAGCTGGGGCCGTGGGGAGACTGTCTCAAAAAAAAAAACCAAAAAAGAATGGCTCAGGAACTCATTATTGTCCTTAGGTATTCATTCTATTGGCTCTCCTTACTCATTTGAGTCTCCCTTGACACTAATTTTATTTATGATTTATGATTCATACTACAAAAGTATTGCACAAAGATTCTTACTGCCTCTTGAATGGTCATTTAAAATTAGTGTTACTGTAGCTTTCCCACAACTAATTATGAATCTCAGCTTTTTGTTTCCATATTCTAGTTGTATTATTAACCACATATACTAAATTTTTAACTCTTGAGTCAGACCGTCATCCTCATATATTCTTGTCCATGTTGAAGTCTCAGAATCCTGGATATTAAGAAAGCGTTCTTACATGGGAGCTGGGGAAGGAGCTCAGTAAAGTGCTTGCTATGCAGACATAAAGACGTGAGTTCACGCTGCAGAACTCAAACTTTAAAAAAGAAAAAACTGGACCTTGGTGGCATGTGCATATAATCCCAGCACTGGTTAGGGTGAGTTGGGGATAGGGATGGGGTGGGGATGGGATGGGGAGTTGAGACAGGCAGCTTCTTAGGCTTCACTGACCAACCAGTCTAGCCTACTTGGTGTGTTGCAAGTTGAAAGAGACCATGTTGAAACATAAAGGATGTTTACACACAAGAAAGTAGAGATCATATCAGCTGTCCATCCATTAACTGTGGATTAAGGTAAATTTTCATGCCTTGAAAGCTACCCATGAAGTTTTCAGCTGTAGCTAAATATACTAGTCCATCTTAGTTTCATGTAAATACTGATAATAACTGCACTAATCCAATACACTGTTTTCCAACATATTCTACATTCTTCTCTGGTTCTCCTAACCTTGTGAAGCGGAGCTAGAAAGTTACTAAAGTTATGGGGAAACCTAAAAGCTTAAATAATTAAAGCCTGAAAAATCAGATGTTCAAGGGGGCTATGATGGTTAATCTCTATTGTCAACTTGATCTAGAATCACCTGGAAAGTGGGCCTCTGGGGGCTTATCTTGATTAGACTGATTGATGTGGGAAGACCTATCCACTATAGGTGGCACCTAGGCTGAGGTCCTAGACTATATAGAGAAAGTGAATGGAACATGAGCATTTATTGTCCCCTAGCTCTTGATTGTAGATGCAGTGTGACCAGCTGCTTCAAGCTCCTCCTCCTTTGACTTCTCTGCCATGGTGGACTGTACCCTTGAACTGTATAACAAACACTTTCTCCCTCGAGTTGCTTTTTGTTCAAATACTTCATCACAGCAACAGGAAAAGAAACTAAGACAGAGGTCAAAACTAGAACTTAATGATTGAGGCTAGTATTTTTCAGGATAGAAAATTGAGAGTAATGAAAGAAATGAACAGAATTTGTATATGTGTCTTATAATTTTTATCAGTACAAAGATAAATGTCATTGTGTAATGAAAACTTTAATATATGATTCAATAAACTCTACTTTGTTCATTGAACTGAATATAAGAGTACAGTTCAGCAAATTAGGGCAAAGGAGATGAGTGCTAACTATGACCAGTGGAGGCAAAATTTTCAGAAATGAATGAGTTAGAGTTGCACTTAACTAAAGTTATGGTTAAGAATATGGTCTACAGAATGAGTTCCAGGTCAGCTGGGCCTACAGGGAGACCCTGTCTCAAAAAAAGAAAAAGAATAATTAATTTGTATTTTTATCAAACTACTGCTTTTCATCATCCTTTGATGAAGAATAATGAAGACAATCTTAAAATGGAGTTTTTTAAATTAAAAAAAAATTTAGGCTTATAATAATGTAGAATTTGTGTGTATCCTCTCCTTAATGTTACCAATGTATATAACCACGGTTAAATTGCCTAAACCAAGAAGTTAACTTTAGAATGGTATTGGAGGTTGGAGAGATGGTTCAGTAGTTAAGAGCACATACTACTATTGCAGGATTTAGTTCCCATCACCCATGTCAGGCAGCTTCAAATGACCTGTGATTCCAGCTCCAGGGAATCCAACACCCGCTTCTGACCTCCACAGGTCCCCACACTCATGTGCGCAAACCTACACAGACATGCATGCATAGTTGAAAATTTTAAAATAATAAAAATTT